ACTTGTAAGTATCTAATGCGGCCCATGGGTCGGGCCAAGTGTCAAGTCCATTGCCGACCTTTGATGTGGTAGTACGCTCTTTTGTTAAAAGTTTGGACGTCGTACTGGCCCAGAACTACTGCAGGCGACCATTGGTTGGCCACAGATTATTTTTTCGAGTCAAAAGTTTCTTAAAATACGCACAGTAATACAGTAGTCATTATGCAAGTGATGGGGATGAGTGATATTTGCCGAGTTTATCAATGGCAGAAAGCTGCAGCCCGGTATTTATCCGAACCATTCGTTCGAGCAGTTCCCTAGGATCTAGCTCGTAAGAATTATCTCAAACTTTACAATGAACAAACAGATTCAGAGTACGGTGACTTAGCAGTACCATAATTGTAAACACTGTACTTGGTAATAATGGGCATTAATGGTAATTAGATTTAATTTAATTAATAGCGAATAATTATGTCTTAGCATGTTTATTGCTAATGCTAATAATATTTGCTAAAATTGCAATTTCGTACGAAGAGACCAAATGAAAAACTATCGTTACTCGTAGGTATATTACTGAGTACTAATTTTACATAAACAACTTTATTATATTTTTAACTCACCGCGATTTTGGCTGCTATTTTAATTTCGCCAACATTAGTACAGACATAATGCAATATACCTAGGGTTTGTTTGCGATATGCTAGCTTTCGTGAATTCGTCACTTAACACTATCTATTTACAAAAAATATCCCTATCTATTCACAAATTACCTATTTACAACGCACACATCACACTCTTCAAAAGTTAAATTACCCATACCTACCTACTCTATGGTTAAACTTCTTATTATCAAATACTATGTAGGTGCCAATTCTATGACCAACTTTAAACAATTCAACAAAATACTACGAGGAAACAAAGTCATTCAAAACAATACCTAATCTCCCGGCCACTTGCTAATGCTAAGTCGTATAATAAACAAAATAATATATTCGTTAATTAAAAATTTAATGAATGATATTAAAAATATGTTTATGCAATAAACAACCCTAAATTACACGTACATTTCTTTTAAATAGACAATAAAATCCTTTGCTCTCATAGCATCAATCGCGCCGGGCTCGGTCACTGTTCCGAGCGAAATACGCGAGAAATGAACCGTCTTTTTAACCGACTTCAAAAAAAGGAGGAGGTTCTCAATTCGACTGTATTTTTTTTTTTTTTTTTTTTGTAAATTTGTTACGCGATTACTCCGGCAATTATAAACCGATTTGAATAATTCTTTTTTTATTTGGTAGGTCATACGTCAGAGGTGGTCCCATTGTCACCAGGTCAGGATCTGATGATGGGATCCTGGGGAAATCGAGGGAAACCCTCAAATTTTGTAGGCATATACACTGTTTATCAGAAATTATCTTAATCTATGTAGATTTTTGCATCTAATGGTCACCATCTGATGTTGCTGAGCTGATGATGAAGCTGATGATAAATGGTTTAGGAGTATGGGATCTCTGTAACAAAATTATGTAATACCATCGAATTTGAATGTTTTTGAGTCTAATTAATAAGGACTCCGATCCTATGTGATATTCAGGGTCTGATGATGGAGACGGTAAATAGCCATGGGAACTCTGTAATAAAATAAAGCAATTCCGCCGTGTTTGTGCTCATTTGATTCGTCTCGACTAGGAGCTTCATGCTAGTCGATTTTTAACCAACATCAAAAAAGGAGGGTTTTTGATTCGACAGTATGTTTTCTTTTTAACCGACTTCTAAAACACAAAAGAGGAGGTTCTCAATTCGTCTGTATTTTTTTTTTTTATGTATGTTTGTTACGCGATTTCTCCGTCAATTGTGGACCGATTTTCAAAATTCTTTTTGTAATCGAAAGGGTATGCTCCCGAATTGGTCCCATTACCACCAATTCAGGATCTGATGATGGGATCCTAGAGAAATCGAGGGAAACCCTCACAATTATTGGGAATTTGACAGCCCCGACAACGTGTTTTAGCAACGAGTATTTCTTTAAAACCATGGCAACCGTCAGAGACTGCGCGATGTGATGCGCAGAGAACTTGCAGTATTTATGTCACCACAGTAATTTTCGTTGTATTAATAAGAAGAAAAGGTTGAAATTTTGTATTTTATCTTGTTAAAATAATTCGGATAGACGTTTTGTTGCTATGGATGGCATCGCATTTCGTTTGTAAGTAATTTAATACTTAATTTATTAAAATAGTTCTGGAAAAAACTCTTAAATTTTGTGTGGGTCAACTAGGTTAATTTCTAACATACCAGTATTAACCCTTCTAGTTGGAACTCCTTCTATAAAATATTGAGCATATTTGTTGAGTAGTCTCACTAAAGCTTCCCTATCTTCACCTTCGAGGTCAGTGTCAATTGAATCGGAAGTTATTTTGTTCGGTTGCAACTCACAAGAATTTGACTGTTTCTTAGAAAAGAATTTAAGCTGATCTTGATCAGTTTGGACGCCAATGTAGGAGAGGCCTATGTCCAGCAGTAATTTAATATAATATTTAATATAATCTAACAAACTACAGTTTGTTACTATACATTACGGTACGTAGTGTTTTAATATCGTACTTATCTACTCATTACAAACATATCCTACACTAAAAATGGTAAAATAAACCCTTTTAAAAAAAAAGTTGAACCGACTTCAAAAAACACCGACAAAGAGCACTAAAAATTAAAAAATAATTACAAATCTAAGTAAAAAACTATAATAAGTACCCTCAATGTAACAGGTAACATTATAATACCAATAGTCCCTTCTAGTCTGTTTGAAGTCGGTGCCAAGCTCGATGCACAATAAGTAATACTGGTCTATGTCAGCTTTATATTAGCACAATGAAAAATTAAGAATTCAAAATAATTCTTATGAAACATCGAAGATTTTGTTAATTAATAACGACCAACCAGATCAATTACGTGCGCAAACGTATCAACTCCTTATTAAAGCATTCAGAATAATAATATAATTGGAGATGTGCGTCCACTTTAGCTCGTTCAACATGTTTTGCGCAGCATGAAGACTGTTGCAGCTGCCGCGCTACATTCTATCAAGCACCTATTTGGCTTGGCACCGACTTCAAACCGACTAGAAGGGACTATTGGTATTATAATGTTACCTGTTACATTGAGGGTACTTATTATAGTTTTTTACTTAGATTTGTAATTATTTTTTAATTTTTAGTGCTCTTTGTCGGTGTTTTTTGAAGTCGGTTCAACTTTTTTTTTAAAAGGGTTTTATCACGTTTAAGTACAACGTGATAAAAGACGGTTCATTTTTCGTTCATTTAGCAATTTAGCATTAGCAGTTGCATTAATACTTTAGCACGACGATTTATTAAATTTAATTTAGTCTTCGCGTTTATGCGAATGAGAAAGCACGCGTTGTGTGAATGTAAAGCGTTAACGTTTTGTGTACGTATTAATTAGTTATTATTATTAATTAAGCCAGGGCTAAGGTACAGCTTTATGTGGGCTTAATATCTTAAATATTTGGATATTTCAGATATTAAGCCCATTTCATTGGTGAAACCCGCTTAAGTGTAAGTTACTTTGATGGATGTGTGATTTCTCCACATTCAATTCTTCATCACACATCACCATCATCAACAGCCTTTACTAGTCCACTGCTAGACATAGGCCTCTCCTTTGAAAGAAGGGTTTAGCCTACTATGCCACGCTTGCTAGACGGGTTGGTATAGGTTTTTTCAAGTTTTCCTTCTCTTTGCAGTGCTGTTGTTCTGTGTACTTTGCTCCCTTAGTTGGCTCTTACGACACCCACAGAATGAATAGGGGTGGTGACACTCTGTATTACAGAATAATGTTATTTATACAATTATTTTTATTTTTTTTTATTAAAAGATTCGCTTAAATATCAATTTCTCAAAGAAGTACATGCCACCATTTGAGTCATCACCATCTTTTGGTTGGCATAGTTCAGCCAGTTTCATTGAAAATACTATCCACATCAGTAGTGATAAACTCTGTTTTCATGACCAAATGAAATTTACTAAGTTATTATAAGTGTTATTTTTCTTATACAAATAAAATAATTTTTGATAGTAGATAGTTGTACAGCAGTGGTAAAATGGGCGGCCTCATCGCAGTCTGCGATCTCTTACAGGCAACCTTTAGATGGACTATACCTACTGTATAGTGTTAATATAGATTTATATAATTACATATTCATACACATACGTACATTCATATAAATATACACATACATACATACATAGTAGTAGTAGTTATAACATTTAAACTTAATTTAAAGATAATTAAAGTCACGAAGTACTCACACATAAAATACACAATATATTATGTCGTTATAATCATGTGTATTTCGGCAAAGCCCGACTAGTCCGTGTAACAACTGTTACTGTCTAGTCTAGCGCCTGCAACCGATGCTTGAGGATGATTTGCTCCTTGATAAATGATTACGTTAAATCCGAAACTAGTCTGATTATGGCGAAATACCCATGAGAAATCCGTAACTATATAGTTGACGAATACCACTCACGAATGTTTTTATTCGAATATACATCCCAAACAGAACGCATCCGCACTGTTCAAGACCCTTAACAGAATATTTACTAAAAATGACGTAGATAGCTTATAATTAGTATCACTCCACATTCCTCTTTGAATCGAATAAATCCTTTTGAAAAAAAGTTGAACTGACTTCAAACAATAATAACAAACCAACTAAACGCACTGCTCCAATGAGACAGCAAGGTTTCGTAAGTAAACAAAAATATCATCGATTTATACAATTTTTAGATATTGGTTGATTTTTCAAAAACCGCTTGACCGATTTGAATATAATTTAAATAGGAGTACCGAGGAAATACACCCTTTAAAAAAAATCAAATTGGTTCAGGCGTCTTCGAGTAATCGGTGAACATACATAAAAACAAGATTCCGACGAATTGAGAACCTCCTCCTTTTTGAAAGTCGGTTAAAAATATGATGCTTTTTGGATTTATGGGGAACTAATGCAGTAACGGAGTACTACATCTTCTTGCTGATAATTTTCTCTTATAGCTAAGAACAGGACACGATTGCCAGATCATCTTCTCCTCAACCTCTTTTGGTGCCAGCGGCCTGCCCCGGAATTCTTCCTCAATCTGTTGTAATGTCTTGCCTTTTGTCTCAGGTAGTAAAGCTAAGATCACTATTAAACAATAAGTCAGAAGACCAGCGTAAATTATATAAGTTCCAGTAATACCGACACTGGCTACCAACCCTGGGAACGTTTTTAATACTATGAAGAAGAATAGTGAAGTGCTTGCCAAGCTGATACTGCCTCCAATACTCCTGTATTCTAGGGGAAACACCTCTCCGCCTATGACATTAGGAAGTGGCAGCATTCCCGTAGCTACAGTGAAGAACTGTATATTAATCAGCAGTGCGGGGATCCACACGTGGTCATATGGCAGCATGTTGTTATTTTTTAAATAAACGTAGCCAGATATAAGAAGTTGTGAGATGACACAAAGTCCACCAGTCAGGAACAACATGGTTCGTCTTTTCATCTTGTTGATGAGGAACACTGCGAGTGTATTTGAAATAAATCTCTGTGTATCCAAAAATATCATCCAGAAATGAGGATTGACACCTGGACCCATGATAAGAGTGATTATTTTCGTGGAGTAAGCTGCCATTGTGGTGCCTCCACCGAACTGTACCATAACATATGCGTGTATCATTATAATAATCGGTTTATAAAACTCTTTTTTCTCAATTGTCGCTAATGCTGTTTTTACACGGTTCGGTTGTTTACCAGTTTTTTGAGCCAGGCTTGCTTTTTCAAACATAATTCTGGCACTTATCATTTCTTCTAGTTCGTCATCTTCCTCGTCTCCTCTTAACCAGCGAAAGACGTACCGACACTCCTCGTAACGACCTTTAGCAGCCAGCCAACTAGGTGATTCCGGGGAATATATAGTCAAAACCAAGCTGATAAATGAAAAGAAGACGCAGACTAGAGCTGTCTGCTGCCAACTGATGAAGGAACCCAGAAGATGTACGAAGAGTATACCGAAAGCCTGAGAAAGGGAGACCAAAGTGAGAAAGGCTCCTCTATTCTTGGGACTAGCGTACTCTCCGATTAGTGCTGACCGAAGCGGTGACAGCATCCCAATTGATAGGCCTTGAAGTATTCTTCCAATAAGTAAACCCTGAGAAAATATGCTTGGGTTATTCAACGAATAGAGAGGGCAAAAGTAATTATTAGAATAACATTGACAATCGCGTACCTCGAAACTAGTTGCCAATATGGTGATAAACCACCCTATGAGCACAGGGATAGTGACAGCGAGGTGACATATCTTGCGACCATAGCTCTCCATGATAGGCGGCGACACGAAGCTGCCGATTAATTGTGTAATCCCTAAAGATGCAGCTGTGGGCAAGAGTTATTTGATCTGATGAACAATTCTTATTAAGATTTAACAAAAACGTTTAGTAGTTTAACAAGTTTAGTAATTATTGTGAATCATCGTTGCTCATTACATGTGTCGGTGTGGCTTAAGGCAAGATTCGTTACCTACGTCGGATCGGAGTGTCTGTCATTCTAACAGGGCCTCAATTCTGTTATTTTATGTTCACGCCAAGCCACTGTCATACCACTGACACGCTATTGAGATGCCATCGAGTGGCCATTAGCATCAGTAAAAATATCGGTAAAAAATATACCGATGCCAATGGCGTCACATTCTGCTCTACCATGTGATGCCAGTGGCCATGAAGGACAGAACCTGCGCAACTGTCGTCGACGCACCACGCTTAGGACGAATCGCTTATTTCCGAAAAAATCATTGAAGCTAATATAAGTTTCACGTGCTTTTGATTGATGGTGATTAAGTATGAGAGTATGTTATTATTTCCTGATTACATACAGCCTTCCCTATATTAGCCATTCAGGTCCTATCCATCTTATTTTATTATTTGTTTTGTTTCCGACCAATATAAACATTTAAAAATGCATTATATATGCCTATAATTATGCATTTGTATTAATTAAATAAAGAATGAATGTTTTTTTCTGCCGAATATACCTTTTCAGACTTAGTAAGCTCTAATACAATTCAAACATTCAAAACTACCAAGCTTTTTAAGACTTAAACTAGATTTGCTAACCATAGCGACATTTTAAATTAAATTTAAAACACATAGGTGGACAACTATTGTGATATTTACCTATCCATGACGCTTTAGATAGAGATAGACTAATTTCCGTGTCTGGTCTGCTGAGCTGTGGCAGCAGGATGGCAGGGTACCCGATCACACAGCCATGCCCGATGATGTTGCTGCACACTGAGGCTGACACGAAACACTGCCGAAATTAAAATACACGAAGGTAAGCATTAGTTGACAAAACATTTTACAGATCAGATTTTTTTTTCGGAAATTAGGATTACAATTAGTTTTTTATTGAATTAAAATGACACAACAAAGTACATTCACAAACTATCTTAATCTAATGATTTAAGATTAACTATCCTTAAAAAGCTGGCTGTAACAATCTATAAAAGGTCTAAATCATGAATAAAAAAGGAACACCTATACATCAGTCACTTTTGTCGATCATAGTTTCCAACTCAGCTTGTGGCCTCGGTCAGAGTAATCTGGTCGAAACGTCAGACATTGTAAAAGTATGTACGTATGAGCGCGTCAATTCCCGTAAATATAATTTTTTCGATCTTGTTATTCATACATACTTTGTTGAAATTTAAATTGATCTCCCATTTTTTAAATGAAGTCTTTCGAAGAGAAGCTTGTCAAATGATTTGTGTGTGTGTGTGTTATGCGAGAACTGAGCCAGAAGTAAAGCTATTTAAATAATTCTCTTTTAAATTAATAATAATGTGTCGGACATCTACCATCTAGTTTCAAACTAAGCACAGCTTGTCTGATAGAATACTTTTTTTTGTAAATACATATATATTATACATAGAAAACATCCAAACTCCGAAACAAATATTTGTAGAGCATACAAACATTTGGTCCGTCCCAGGAATCGAACCCGAGACGTCAAAACCGCAATCGCATACGCTACCACTGCGCCGCTGAGGCAGTCAATTAAATTTGGTTGTATTTCAAATTGAGTTAGATTTGAGGTAAAAATTCTACCTATAACGTTGGAAAATTATGGTATGAAGTATAGAGCTAATTAAAAATTATCATAATTTGAAATCGGTGATACATTTAAAGTGAATTATTCTTGTAAATCCATGACCTGAATGATGGCAAAATATCTGTATTCGAAACAGATAGATCGCTAATAGTGCAGATACTGCCTCAATGGAGAACAGTTTTGTTTTCACTTATTTAAATAAAAAAGAAAAATTTTCAAAGGGTATGGTAGAAGGTTAAGTGGGTTATCTGGAAATGGGAGCAGATAATTGAGGCAAAACAAACGATACCTTGACATTTGTTAGAAGTGATATAACGACAACCGCCGTATTGTCTCTCTTATCAATGAGCGCACAAAGAAGTTACTGATGCCTTTGCGTAAGAAAAGTGTCAAGGGATTATTACTATCAATACGTTAGGAAAGTATGTTTTAACACATTAAATGTTATTTGTTTTAATATGCGGCTATCCTATCCACTGTGAATACAACATATATGTCTGGAAATCTTGTAAAACCACCATGGTCGAACTTCGTCGTAAAATCACGTTTTTAGACGGAGAGGTGTTATCAGGGGCGGCCTTTTGGGGGTGGGGAACAGAGTAACCGCCCAGGACCTAGCTCATGAGGGGCCTCGTGCAATAACCCATGTAGTACAAATATTATTTGCATTACGAGCATTTACATTATTTGAGTTACTCGCGCTCGCATTATGTTCAGGGATTCTCCGTGTTTCAATTCACCTATCATTTTGACAGATCTCTAGTTTTAAAAATCTTCTAGCAGCAGTATGAGTTGCGTTGTAATTTTTGTTCGAAGCATCATCATTAAAACTAATTCCACAAAGACAAGGGCCTCGCAATAATCTACCTGCCTGGGGTGTCGCAATGGGTCAGACCGCCACTGAGTGTAATACTTCTATAAATATGTGCAAAGAAGTCTAGTAGAAATAAAATAGACACAACAATCAGTTTCATCTTTTGCAAAGCAGATGACAATTTAGTACGAAAACGTGATAGCGACATGTGGATTAAAGATAAGGTATCGGCGGATTTATCAAATATTATTGATTCTGAAGAATTATTGTTTATTGGAAACCGAATTGATATTTATGAGTAAGATAATAACTACTTAATGTCAATTATTTTAAACAAAACAATCCTCTTGACCAGTGAGGGTGAGTTAAATACCTAGGTGAGTATATCTCACTCGAAGCGAAACTACTATACGAGTATACACGATAATTGACAGTGAGAACTTTGTAATAACTTACACGTTCACGATCTCTCGATCTGCTGCTAATTTGGAAAAACTGTCCGGAATCCTGAATTTCAACTATAAATTAAACAAGAAAATCCTAAAGGTTTAGTAGTGTGGAGATCTCGTTATTGCTACTAGCGTGAGTACCTTAAGCAAAACTCAGTAAAGAAATGGTCTCATTTGTTCTTCACATTAAACAATTAAACAAGTCCTAGTCTTTTACGTTGTCTTTGGAAATGTTTGAGGAAGAATTCAATCAATTCATCATCTATCGCAATCTACTGCTGGACATAGACCTCTCCAATTGCACGCTACTTGGTTTGATCCTCGGCTTTTCGTATCCACCTCCTGTCAACCATCTTATGCAAATGATCACTTTACTTGGCTTATAGGCGTCCTACACTACGTTTGCCTAGACGTGGTCTCGAATCAAGAACTCGTTTACCCCAATCTCATTCCTGATGTGATCCTTTTAAGAAACGCCGAGCATAGCCCTTTCTATTCGTCTTTTGACACTGTGAGATCGACGATGAGAAGACTCGAATAGCTTGCCAAATGCTGCCCAGCCCAACTGAATTCTCCTATTTACCTAACTTCTTGTTTTTTGTTAGTCCATTCAGCATCTGTTGTAGCTCGTGCAGCATCCCTGTCATGATGACGATGTCGTCTGCAAATCGCAAGTGAGAGATGTATTCGACCACTGATCCCACGCCTTTTCCATTGCATCGTCTTGAACATGTCCTCAATTTGTGAATAATTTCGGGGAAATAATGTCCCCCGGGCTCACTCCAGCAAAACGAATCGATGCAGCGGTATGGGTCTTGTTTGTTCATTCTGTACTTGGACGGACATAGTGTCGGCTTCGTAGACATCGTACTTGGTGCTGCAGGGACTCTAGAACAGGCCAGATCGCGATCGAGTCAAAGGCTTGCTCCGGTGGTTGGAGTCGTCGCACAAGACGGTTTGTGATAACACTTGAAAACAGCTTGTAATCGTGGCTTAGAAGGGAAATGGGTCGACAGTTCTTCAACATAGCCTTGTCACCCTTTTTGAAGAACAGTACGGCAACACCCCCATTGCATGCCTTCGGAGATCACCCGTCAAACAGCACAGCATTGAAAAGGAACTCTTTCAATACGGGGAGAGAAAAATTGACAAGAATATCTTGACTAGAAACACTGTGACACTTTGTTGCAATAGACCCACATTGGACGGAAAACCTCGTGATGTTAGTTGATTCGATTCCGACATCCTATTTCACCGTAAGTTAGCAAAAGACCACAGTAATGGGGGCTGTTATAATGATAATACGTTTAATACGTGTTATACGTTTACGATAGGAACCATTAAAGAGTACAACCGAATAATTAGAAGAAATTAGTAGCTTGTGAATCACAAAAAGCCCAACCAAGGACCAATGAGACAAATATCGTGGTGCTTTTATAGAAATATATGATGTTGTTTCGATTTCATTAAATTACATATATCTTACTAATTGAAACCATACAATGAAATTACAAATTTCACACAAAAAATATTAATTAAGTGAAGCAAATAATACCCTTAAAAAGTATGTTTTAATCAGATTGTCTATAATCGGAAATATAAATTAAATTTTAAAATATCTGTCTAGTATTTAAAATAGTTCAGTAATAAGCAAAATACCTAATAAAATACATAAATTAATTCCCCATCAGGGAAGATGATTTGGGAAACGGGCAGATGATGATGATGATGATGATACGTATGTGTTAGTTAACAAAAAGCAATAAGTCATGGGTTCTTTTAAGATCTCGCCAAAATAGTTTATAAATCCTAACATTAAAAAATAAAATAGTTTACCTGTTTCAAAAACGGTGAGAATCTACTCTTTTTCGACATTTCTAATGTTCACACACAACCCAATAACAATAAATTATCACAATTAAATTAAAAAATACATCTAATACCACTTATATTGTTAATATCACAATTCGAAGTTTACAAGCACATTTTCCTTGCAATTCAGTACGCACGTTTACTGATCGTTAAAGCGGTCAGTAGTTACACATTTATTGTAATAAAACAAGCTTAGCTTTTATCATTCTAAATGCACCCGGAGGATTACACAAAATACAACTTTATCTTAGGTCTTATTCTCACTGACTTCAAACCTACGTTAATTCTGATGAATACCGGTACGTTTCAATTTTGAATTGTATCAGAGAAAGAGGGAACTGTACCGAACTATTATTATAAATATCTGAAGCGATACAACGGGTATAGAGACTTATATATTAGTGTTATCGGTAAACTCATGCGGCTTGAAGACGCGAAATGCTTATTACTTAACAAATAGAAAAAAGAAGGCAGATTATTATCTTGTTTCTCTTTAGGTATTATATTTTGTATGTTTGTTTGTTTGTTGTTCTTTGGGTATATTGGGTCCGCGTAGTGACGAATTAAGAATACAGAGTGTCACCACCCCTATTCATCCCGTGGGTATCGTAAGAGCCGACTAAGGGAAAAAACAACGCAGAACAACAGCACTGCATAGAGAAGGAAAACTTGACACGAACCCTATACAGGTGGTATAGTATGCCAAAACCTTCTTTCTAAGGAGAGGTTTATGACTGTTATAGGCTGTTGATGTGATGTGATGTGATGTAAATATTTTTTAATTTGTTGACAAAATGAAAATGAGTTTGAGTCCGCTTTATATTCAAAATTAAAATTTATAAGCTTTTGTGCTTGTTTACTTTTAATGTTTATAGAAAAGGTGTTTGTGTGTAATATTTTTATTCAAGTCAGTTTCATTTTCAATCAATCAAATTCTCTTCGGGTCTCGTCGAATCAGAAACGGAATAGTAGATTCGTAGCCTAGTGCGTAAATTAACAAAACAAAACAAAGCTCTCCTAACCAAAGAGTTGTGTTCGTTCACATAACAGTTGTAATCATTTAATTTTTGCCCATCGAGCCATATATATTTCGATTTACCCAAGGCTTTTGATTGTGTTGTTCTAAGAATTAATCAAGAAATTACATCACTAAGGTTTAAAACACATGGCGTTGGACAGGTTTTTTTTATGATAGAGGGCGTGGTGTTGAAACACAGAAAATGTTGTATAAATGTTGATAGGAATTCAGAAAGTCGATATTAAAATACTAGCTATTTTCAAAGACTTTCTTAGAAATGGGAGTTCCACAGGGCGCTATTTACGGCCTATTTTTTCGACAATTACCAATTCTAGGAGATGAATATTAAGGAATGAACAACACACATAATGTAGATGCATTGAAGTCGGTGATACATTATTTATTAATTAACAGCATTTAACAGTCCACTGCTGGACATGGGCCTCTCCTTAGAAATAAAGTTTTTGCCTACTATACCACGCTGGCCAGACGGTTTTTTTTTATGGAATAGGGGGCAAACGAGCAGTAGGGTCACCTGATGGAAAGCGACTACCGCCGCCCATGAACGCCTGCAATTCAGGAGTCACAAGCGCGTTGCTAGCCTTTGAGGAAGGAGTACTCTTTTCTTGAAGGTGGTATTGGTCCGGAAATACCGCAGCCGATAACTTGTTCCACAGATTGGTAGTGCTAGGCAATGTGGATATGGCGGAAGGTTGCGGCCGGTATTAGTCCGAAAATTTCCTCGGAGCACTCTCCATAATATATACGATAGAGAATGCAGAGCGAAGCTACATCTCTACGTAACGCCAAGGGATTGAGCCGGTCGCAAATCTTTTGGCTATCGACGATTAGAGTCGCTCTTCTTTGGATACGGTGCAAAGGGAGAAATTGGTACTGTGGTGCCTCTGTGGTGCATAGAGATGAGAACAGTATTCCTTATGCGGTCGGACTTTGGCCTTACAGAGTTGGAGGCGATGGGCTGGAGTGAAATACTGCCTCGATCTGTTCAGCACACCGAGCTTCTTCGAGGCCAATTTTACCTTATTCTCTCTTCTCTCGTCTTTTTTGAGTTAAAAAGTACCAGATTCAGTCGAACCCAAGCTGAAACCTTAGCTAAGGAAGTTTCAACTTCACACACAAGTTCGTTTCGACTTTCGATTACTATTGGCCGAGAAATATTTTTGGTAGTTGGTGTTGGTAGAGGGTTCGGGTCAAGTTTGCCTTCTTTTTGCAGTGCTATTGTCCTACGTAGTTTACTCCCTTAGTCGGTTTTTACAACACACACGGGATGAATGAGGTGGTGATACTCGATAAAATAAAAGTTAGTAATACTGTTCTTAATTTATATCAAAGACTTAAACCTCGAACTAGAGTCTTCTTAAACATACACAAGATAGAGCTGTTTGCATGTGACTACTGTTATTTAGTTTGACGTTAGAAGCTTGCTCCTTAATAGAGAAATGATTAAAGGTAAACTTACTACTCTAAACGAGAACAGATGGTCGCCGTACTCAACGATGGAGGTCGCGCACCGCTGCACCAATCACCACGGCCAGTGACATAGGCACAGGTCAACCTGTGACCAAGGCCCGTGCAACCTGGGCCTAAATGAATGTCGTCGGAATAGTTTTGCACTTTTCCTATTCTACTCTGTAAGAGCAATGACCAGGTGACGATGTCGATGATGACCGATGACTTGTCACTGGTACAAATGTAGTCGATGTATTTGTAATAGTTTGGTAAACGGTACATTTTAAATTTGTAAGAAAATGATATATTTAACTTTCCATGAATGGCAATGTGGTTGATATCACCATTGATGACCTATATTACTATATCGACAGTCTATTGACTATTGAATATTTTGACCGATGTAAATGGCGTCGCAGTGAATGAATAGCGTGTCAATGGAATGACAGTGGCTTGGCGTTCACATGAAATAGCAGAATTGAAGCCCTGGGCGAAACGTCAGGCAATTGAAGCGTATTTACTTAATCCCTCTCATGAGCAACACGCTCTGAATTCTCGTACATAATTATTTTCGGCTATATCTTTCTAAATTGACTAAAAATTTGACTTACTTCTTTAATTCTGGCTTTTTATTATCTGTTTACAATCCCTGTAATATCTTCAAACAATCCCGAAATCCGTCTGATCCCGATCCGAAAAACACACGGCCGTCTGATCCCAAACTAGGCAAAGCCTGTACTATGGTAACCAGACTGCTGATAAACATACTTATATATTTTTAAATAGATACATATTATCATATACATATACATCACAAAATACAAACTACACAAAGAAGAATGGAAAGAAGCTTATTATGTGTAAAATTAAAGGATAAGATTAAAAATATGCACATTCGCAACAAAAACAAAGTAAACGACGCTTTAACTTTCTCGCTGAAAATGAAATGGAGATGAGCAGGACACGTAGCCCGTTACGATGACGATAGGTTGTCCAATAGAGTGGTGAACTGGCAAGGCCCTACAGGTCGTAGGGTTAGAGGCCGCCCATGTGCTAGATGGACAGATGAACTGGTAAAGGTAGCAGGAGGAAATTGGATACACTTGGCTAGACACAAATAAAGATGGAAGTCCTTGGAGGAGGCTTTTACCCGTAGGGGGTTCATAACAGCCAAGACAAAATAATAAACAAAGTGAATTAAATTAATTTAATCTGATCATCATCATCCTTTCTAAGGAGAGGCCTATGTCCAGCAGTGGACTAGTATAGGCTGTTGATGATGATGGTGATGAATCTGATCATAATGCAATTGAAATTATTTCAAAAGAATTTTATTTATTAATCAGAATTTATTGTGAATTTCCATTCACAATACTTCATCATCATCATCAACAGCCTTTAATAGTCCACTGCTGGACATAAGCCTCTCCTGAGAAAGGAGGTTTTGGCCTACTATACCACGCTGGCCAATACAATACTTAATGAAGCTTTATTTAATTCCAAATAAAGCTTTATTATTACTTATAGATAAATTAAACCTAGACACAGAACAGATGACCGTGCTCATCACACAATATTTGTCCTGGGTGGGAATCGAACCTACGACCTCCGGTTTAGCACTAGACCAGCAGGCCCGTCCAAAAGTATTAATAAATAAGCTGGAATTGAATTTTCTAGTTGTATCTGATAAAATCACTCTTTCTCTGCATCGCCCAATCTGTCGACTGGCAGAGAATGCCTTAGGCATTAAGTCCGCCGATGCACACATTTGTGCATAAATTCATAAATAAAAATAAAAAACAAAAAAAAAGGGCCCAAAGCGCCTATACTAAATTATGGCAAATAGTAGGACAATAAACTGTTCAAATGTTTTGTTATCAACAACACTTGGTATATCCTATTCCAGTTAACAAAATAAACATTTAACTAAATATTTAAATCTATTTATAAACTGGTCCACTTGTACCTATATATTTGTGTGTACTCGCACTAAATAGCTTTTAGATATCTTTTGTGAATTTAAAACTATATACTATCTTCAACTAATGTTGTTACTCTTCGAAAAACTGTTAAAAAACTTGGACAAATTACATCGTTATTGCAATGATATTAAGGCTTACCTTAAACACAAAGTTTCAAATGCTCATTCTATTATCATGCAATTTGGCTATACGCAAAGTGTAATATTGCAGAGGGTTTAGCTGGTTTGTTTACGACGGGCCGCTTGCCTGAGGTCAACTTTCTTCGGGACTCAATAGATGAAGGAAGGAGTTTTTTTTTTTTTTTTTTTTTTTTTAATCTTTATTTATTTAGAGGCTTTTATTACAAGAAATATGTTAGCCCCATCGTGGCTTATTCTAAGATATTCACTATGTTGTCATAGTAGACAGGGGAAGTCGTTGCTGTGAAAATATCTCAAATAGGTCTAACGCCGCATTGGAAGTAGGGTTACTTAGAATGCTAATGAACAGTCCTACATCGTACACATTAAGATTATATTTGCACATCAACGAGT